AAAAGCTGGGACTCAGACACACATACATCAATGTCCATAGCAGCATTATTCACAATAGCCAAAAGGTAGTAGAAACAACTCAAATTTCCACCAAGAGATGAATGGATAAACAAAATGTGGTGTACAAATATTATGGAATGTTATTCAGACCTAAACATCAATGACATTTTGATACAACCTCTAACATGGATGAAACTTGAAAATAATACACTAAGTGAAATAAGCCAGATGCGAAAGGACAAATATATGATCCCACTTACATGAAGCACCTAGAATAGGCAAATTCATAGTAACAAAAAGTAGAACAGAGGTTAGACACTGGAGGGAAGGAGGAAAGGGGACTTGCTGTTTAACAGGAACAGAGTTTCTGCTTAGGGTGTTGAAAAAGTTCTGGAAATGTATGGTGGTGACTGTTTCACAACGTTGTGAATGTACTTAATGCCGTTGAATTGTATCCTTAAAAATGGTTAAAATGATAAATTTTAGGTTACGTGTATTTTGCCACAATCAAAAATATGTACTAACACAAGGTGATCGCCCCATGAAGAGCTTCTGAATTGGACTAAATGGCTCAAGGAAAAGGACAAAATGTGTGGTCCCAAAGGCTGATATTTTTGAGAAACCTGCACTTGAATGGAGAGATAGAGCCGTGGGAGCAAGCATGGAAACAGCAGACGTCAAATTTGTGTTTCGAAAAGAATTGTGGGTGGTTGACTGTGTTTGGACAATGAGTTACGAGTTGAAGGGACACGAGTCACCTTTGGGCCAATCACTGAACTGCAGCTGCAACACTTTCCAGTTCCATTTCACTGCCTCAGGGACTAGCCAGTTTCTGGACACGGAGAGAATTAGAAAATCATTCCTGCTTATCTTAAGTGTCCTAAAAAACAGGCCTGGGTTCTGGTGGCAGGGATATAAATCAGAGGAGCAGGCTGTTGTGGTGCCACAGATAAATCCTGTGTTCTTTTCTATTTCTTGTCTACTCCTCAGGGAGAAAAATGTGCTTTACCTTTGCAGAGTGTGAGCTTGTGACCCCCACCCACTTAGCACTGTTTATAACCAAACCTGCCTCCTAAGGAAGCACATGCTACTCCAGGGTAGGTCCTTTGGTGCGCCCAGAACATCAGGTGGTTTGGGTTTTTAAGTCTGGAGAAGAAGATGGGAACTGCTAAGAAAAAAAATGGGGAGAAATACGAATGAATCTTGGAGGGAGAAATGGAAGGAATAGAGGAGGGAAGAGAGAAGAGGGAGCAGAGGGTCGAGATCCATCTGCCATCCGTGTATCTATAATTCTTGTATTTACTTCTCTGGCCCAGGCATTTCCCCTGAACTCTGGACTTGTATGTCAACTGCCCACTGGACGTGTTCCTTGGATGGAAATAAACATCTACAGTTAACATGACCCAAAGTGAACTCCTGAATTTCCCCCACAGCCCTCTGTGTCTCAGCTGAGGCACACTTACTCTTCCAGATGTTCAGGCCCCAAATCCTAGGAGTCTGTCCCTCTCACCCCAATCCAATGCATCAGGAAATCCTGTTGGCTCCATTCCAGCATGCATCCAAAATCAGGCCTCTTTCTCCTGTGTCTACTAGCTATTGTCCTGGCCTGAGCCACTTCTTGTTTGCAGGAAGGCAGCGACCTCTTACAGGCTCTAGTTGCTTTTATTTATGTCCTGTTTAGTCTACTCTCAACCAAATGCTAGAATAATTTAAAACTCATGTCAGATCATGTTACTTCTCTCTTCAAAACCTTGCAATGGCAGACATGTCACTCAGAGCAAAAGCCCAAATCCTTGAACACAGCAGGAAGATCCTATTCTACGGCCTTTGCACACGCTGTTTCCTGTCAGAAGGGCTCTTCCCCCAGATTACCCGGGTGCTTTCCACCTTCTTTTTCTATTTGCTCAAATTTCCCTTCTCAGTGAAGCCCATCCAGACTACCCTGTTTAAAATATATCCCACCTACCGAGTCTCCCAATTCTCTTATCCACCTATACTTTAATTCCTTCCTTATCACTTATCGCTTTCCATTACAACACGTTCTTTACTCATTTATTGTGTCTATTGTTTACTGTCATTTCCCCGTTAGGTTATAAGCTTCATGAGGACAACTACTTTGTCTCTTTTATTCACCAATGTACCCCAAGTTCCTACATAAGCTCCTG